ATACTGAACTCGATATGGAGGTGAAAGGAAACTGCTTTCATATTCTGTGATTATGTTCTATGATTATACGAAGTCTGAAGTCAGGTTCTGAAATAATTAAAATTACCCAATGAGCTTAGAAGATTATTACGTGTCACTCTGAATGGATCGCATAAGAAATGGGAGGAGAGCCTATGAAAAAAAGTAGTTTCAGGTCAAATGCCCAAACAGATCACATTTGCCTTTGCCATGTGCTGTCTCCCCGTATGTTTCCCTTTTTGGGCTGCCTCTCCTCTTACCTGTTATCTCCGTTATCCTGGGAGCCCCTCAGAAAGGACAGCAGAGCTCCAGAGCCTCCATATTCCAGCGCGGTCCTCTCACCAGCCACATAAGCACGTCCTGGGAACTTGTTAGATTTCAGAATCTCAGACTCCACCTACCCCAGACCTTAAGACTCAGAATCCTCCTTTTTAAAAAAAGAAAAAAAAAAATTATTTATTTATTTATTTTAGTTTGCTTTAGGGGGTGTGTGTTTGCTGGAAAGGTTGAGTGAGTGAGAGAAAGAGAGAGAGAGAGAAAGGAAAGGAATCATTCCTTGGGGAGAAGGCTGCACCATAATCCCCTCCCCATTCTCCTCTCAGGATTTTGGGCACATGTGCCCTGTGTGATTTTTAAGCCACTGGGTCCAAGACACAAACCACAGTCAGCCATGTAGGATCCAGCCACCTTAGCCTCCACACCATCTACTGGCTCCAGAATTTTCCTTTTAAGACATTTTTAAGGAATTCCCATGTATTTAAAAGTTTGAGAAATACTGCTTTTGGGTACCACAGGGTCAGTATATGGTGACAGCCAGCTGTATGGATAAAACACTTTGGTACTAATGGTTATTTGGTACTATGTAAGCATATTCAGCATGGATTTCTAGAGTCGTGGTGCTAATACTCTATAGTTTTCATATTGGATCTATAGAATCAGATGTAGTTTTCAAGGTAACACAAAAATTTGATTTGAATTTTATTCAAAAATATCTATTTTAACTTTCAAACACTGTCGAAGGAGAAAAGTCTTCAAAGCACTTTGAAGATTTCCAATATATTCAGTTATGTTGTTAGACTAATGATTTGAAATAAAATCTCTTTTGCTATCTCTGTTTAATTTAGTAGTATCCATAAACTACAAAGTGAGCTGCTACAAATAAATCAGGTATCACCTACAGATTCTTGTATCTGTGAACTCCAATTTCCTCAATGCTTTGCAATTAAAATCAAGTGTAGAAATAAAAGAATTGCTATAGGCAAAATAAAAACACAACTGTCACCCATAACCCTGGATGGAATTGTTGCATCCTGCTAAACAGCCACTTTGTCCCTGTTGATTCATTTTATATTAAGTAATTGTTGTATCTTTAAACTTTTAAACTATAGTTTTTCATTGTCTTATGTATCAGGATACAAATATATTTCATTTGGGGAAAAAAAAAGTGCATTTTTCTTCCAAAGCATTCTGGGAAGCCACAGCTAAAAGGGCCATTCCAGCTGAGTCCAGACGCCAGGGCTGTGGAAGCTGGTGTTAATTGGATGCCTCCCCTCTTCTGGAGCTCTCTGTTCACAACAAATTGACACCTGCCAACTTCTCCTCTGTATGTCCCTGATCCTGGTCAAGGAGTTCTCGAGTCGAAGCAGTGGAGTCATTTTGATTCATTTTTGATGTGACTCAAGCTTTCAAGCTAGGACATGCCATGAGACAAATTATACATTTCCTATGGCCTACTAAAAGAATCCGTTTATTACAGAAAGAATCTGGGGTTACAACCAAAATCACAGATAAAAATCATCTCTATTTCTCAAGGTGAAAGCGATCTTTTCTTTGAAATTACTTCAGATCTTTGGCAGAGTACTTTCATTCATCCACTCCTCAGTCTGTCAACAAGCATTATTGAAGGTGTGCCAGGCACCTGGCTATGCAAAGAATCACCAAATAAAAACTCCTAACTGTAGGAGTTTTTGTTTAGAAGAAAAAGACACAAAAACAGTTACAAAGCAAAGCAACTTTTTTTAATAGGGTGATAAGATGTTAGGGTTTGAAATTATAGGTTTGTCAACTTGATTTGAAAATAAAATATTTCCCACCATTAAGAGTTAGGATGTCAGTAAACAGTGGAAAGAAAGTGCCAATTTTTTAAATATAAATTTTAAGAAACAGACATTAAAAATAGAATATTAAAATCTCATATAAAAATGAACACATTTAAAAAATTCTAAAGATGAATTTTAAAAGTATTCCATTAATCTCATCTAATGGTTATATGTTCTTGTGTGGTCTTCTGATCGTTGCGATGTGGATCTTCTATTTTGTGTATTATTGAGAGGATATTTAGATTCCAACCTGGTTTTCCTTTCCTACTCAATAGACTAGACTAATTTCCCTTGAATTAATTGATATAATGAGCTGATGTAAATTACTTTCACTATTAGGCTTAACTGGTAATAACCTCCAATAATTTAGAAAGTAAATGTACTACAGAAAGGCATGAAGACACTACCTGTAGAAATTGAGCATGAAGGATGTTTCAATTTCATGTAATTTTGGAGTATTGACTTATTGCTTCTCTCTGTGATTGGGGGATCACATCTAGGGGTTAAAGACCCCTTTTCAGAGCCTGCATAGCCTAGGGGGCCTTGGAACAGTCTAACAACACTGGGCCATTCACCACTCACTGCTCTACTTTCCTGTCACTGCTTCCCTCACTTCCTTTGCTGGAGACAATTTCAACATTTTCATCATAAAAATGCTTCTTGTCTTTTAAGGTCCAGGTGAAACACTCTAAACTTTATTCAGCCCTTGATTTATCTACTACCCACTCTTCTGGGATCCACATTTCTGTACCATTCCATACCTCTTCTACAACTCAGGATTCCTGATATTATATTTTGCATAGATTCTACCCCCACTTCAACTCCACCAGGATTTTAGGGTCTTTGGAGAAGAGGAAATATCTTTGTAGACTTGATAATACCACGCCCAAATTCGATGCAAAGTAGGTGCTTACTACATGTAGAGTAAGTTTTCCATCCTCCCTCAGGTAAGCCAACACCATGCTTTTGCTTATCTTCTGCTTGCCCTCAGTACTGCTTTCCCCTTCATTTTCTTCTCTTGTAATCCTGTCCACTTATTGAGGCTCTCCCTACCAGCGTTTTGTCGTGCCCCAAATCTACATAGTACCTCATGTAAAATGCAATAGTACATTGTTTCCCCGGCATTATGCAATTTTTCATTTCTGCCTTGTAGGTTTCATGTACGTAATATATCTACTTTCTTAGACTGTAAGCTCTTAAAAAGTCGTGAATGCAGTTCTGTTCATTTTTCTTTTCCACAGTGCTGTGCATATGGCAAGTGCTGAATAAATATTTGTTGCAAAAGTAGAGGTTTGTACAGTTGTGGAGAAGAGCATACCTACACAGAACCGAAAGGACTTTGCCAAACTGAGCTAAGCCCTGCTGCCAGTGGTTTTAGGCATTGCAGATAGTAAATCAAGAACAACGGTTGGGGAATTCTCTCTCTGAGACCAGCCCTATCAGGTTTTATAAGCAGGGAGCTATCCAGGCCTTACGATTAAGGGGTTCTGCACAGGGTGCCTCTCTGTTAGTCCCTCATCGGCGACCTACTGTTACAGAATCTGCTGTTGTAATCTGAGGGGACTTTTATGTTAGTTTCCCATTAAAATCTTGAAATCTTTGAGTGCTAATGCATGATATCTTAACCAGAATTATAAAGAAGAAGGTCGGGGAAGTCAGAAAGAGGAATTGATGGTAGATGTAGATATGAGACCAGGAGAAAGCAAAGAGGTTGTATTGTTGAAACAAATGTTTCAGAACCAGTTTCTACTTTAGAATTGTTAGGGCGCAAACTGCGACTTGTGCCCAGCCCACTGTGGTCTAGATACTTACTTATCCCATTCACCAGCTTCCTGTTTCCTGCCTATTAGTTATCTACTTTATATCTCCAAACATTAAAACTGTAAACTAGGTCTAATAATAATTACACACACACATATATATAAATTTATTTTATTGATTTATTTTACTTTGCTAGAAGGTACATGCACTCACCAGAGAGAGGCAGAGAAAGAGAGAGACAAGGAAAGTGAGCAAGCACCCTCCCTGTGGGAAGCTCACACCCCAATATCTCCTCCATTTCTCCTTTCAGGATTTTGGGCATATATACTCAGCACATTTTTCAAGCTGCCAGTCCAGGACTCAAAGGCACAATCAGCTATGTAAAATCCAGATCCCTTAACCAGCACACCACCAGCTGGCCTGACTCAATATTTTTTCACATGAAAAAATTGAGGTTTAGAAGGTTAAACCAAGCAGTCATCATTGGCTAGCTTCTAAATAGAAAAGCAAACATTTGAATCTAAAACTTATATGGTGCTCCTATAACATGTTTGCTGCCTCTTTAAGTAGGTGCCCTCAATTGTCCAACTGGGCATGAGGTGAGGTGTTAAAAAGACTTAGACATCTGCTCTCATGAGACTAGAATATTCTGATTGCTGTTGCCATGGCATTATTTCAAAAACTCAAATTACTGTGAAAATCCCAGTGTTACCCCTCTCTAACTTGGTATTGGCCTTGATAATGAACAGAATGGAACAGGAACAGGAACAGGAAGGCTTATCTTCTAGATACTCTCTCCAGGAGGAAATTTAGCTAGTATCTTTGTATTTGTGCAAAAGGAAGATAAAATGAATCTATAATGCAAATGAACCTCTCCACTGTTTGTTAGTGTCTTCTGTTTGCTCAGAAATGGGAAGCAACAGGATCGTGATACATCATCTTTTGTGCGCTTGGCACCTTCCATCATGAATCATATTAATCTGCTTAAACTAACAAGGATTAATTGCCTTGGTAAGGCAACCTGGCATTGAAATGATATATTGCCCAGACAGCTTGGAATGTGGCCACTCATAAATCTCATTTACTTGTTGGTTTATTTCTGTTTGTCTCTTTCTCTGACAGATGTGTGCCCAATCACTGCGAGCATGGGGGGAAGTGTTCGCAAACGTGGGACAGCTTCAAATGCACTTGTGATGAGACGGGCTACACGGGGGCCACCTGCCACAACTGTGAGTGCCAATTTATCTCACTTTAATCACGTAATTGCATGAGAATCCCAGGTCTTCTGCTATGCTTTAAAACTCAGCAACCTGAATGATCCACGTTACTACATCACTTGATTCGGAAAAAAACAAGTTTCACTGTCATTCCTCAAAAAAAAAAAAAAAAAAGTACTTTAGTTCTCAAAATATATTCTGTCATGCCTAATGGCTCAGAAAGAAGGAGCATTTCCAATGTTGCGTTATCATGTAGTTGAGATGGGAACACTGAGCCTGGGTTTTCCTCTCTGCATCTAAGCCTTGTCTCTCTGGATAGAGCGTCTGGGAAATGGTGTTAGTGTGATGTCTGACTGGATCCTAATTTTTCGATTGGTCAGAACAGGAGACAGAGTGTAATTTGCACATTTAGTTTCTAGACAATGGTTGCCTTCTATTTTAGCCCAATTATTTGGCAACAGTTTTCAGAAGAGAGAAATAAATCAGAAAGGGGAATGAAGTCCATTGAAGTTGTATATCTAAAATAAAAGTATAAAAAGGATATTTTAATATTATATTTAAAATGACTAGTAAAATACAGACATGCATTAATTTACACAAAAGCTTTGCCCAAAAAGGCTAAATAAAAATTCAAAGACAATTTCTTAAAAAATGCTAACTCTATGATTATAATATTAACTTTACAAAAATGCATTGTCATTTAAAAACAGATTTACCATAACATAGTTAAAAGAAGGTCATGTGTTATGTCATGTGTGTGTGTGTGTGTGTGTGTGTGTGTGT